TAATAAGTTACGTATGTTTTCTGTATACCGTAACGCATCTATTCGATTCCTCACACATACAAAATGATTGAATTTATTTATAAAAGGGAAAATCGTGTAGTATGCTATAAAATGCCCTTTGAACGAATTTTGTATGTTGCTCCATAAACTAGTAATGATGGCTGGAAGGCAGGTGTTTTGGGATAAACAATAATAAATTCTCAAAAACTTGTTGACTCATCGACTCCAATTTTGTTGTTTTTATTAAGAAGTACGAAGTACAAATTGCATTTTGACTAAGTTATTTGCCATAATAATGGGGTCTTTTTATGGATTTTCTCATGCTTTGAATAAAAAGTTTTACAATTGCTGTACCGATTTTATGCGTCGATGTTTTGATTACCCCTTAAACAACCTGCGTCGATGATACCAAACTTTAAAATTATTTCAGGAAAATTCGCCAATATGATTCGCCATATGTGAGTCTGACCGACAAACCCATACAGCCCAACTGCAAAAAGTTTGGATTCTAAGATCAAAACTGTTATACATATATTGTACTCATACAACAATATTTGAGAACAGCGTATGGACAATCGTTTAAAAAACCCTTTAGTTTTGGAATTATATTTTTGAAAAGTATTGAGTAAAGCGCAAATTGTCAGTTTGACATTTTGCGAATTCAGTATTTCTGGCAAAGATACAATTCGGTTTCAAAATAATATTATGGAATGAAAATTTGTACTCACTGGTAGAGAAGTAAGTCCAGGTAATCTTGAAAGAACGTTTCGTAACATGATACAGAAATTTTGAAGAATGTTTAACTCTTCGTTGTGATGTTGCTTACATTGTCAAATTCTTTTAAATTGTCCGTTTCGTTTTCAATTGTTCACTACAATTTTTGCAAACTGGATGGGCCATGTCTCCTATACAGAGTGTAGTCTAAGTATACAATAATAAGAAATGACGACAATTCCTTGAAGAATATCTATGTTTTTTCTTTTACCTTTTCAAGAAAATGTTAACCCAGATGTGCCTGAACTAAAAATCACGATGATGAAATGTTCATCAAAATATTATTTTTTTTTTACTTTGGACGACAAATTTTATCACTTTGCATTCATAGAAAGAAAAATTAAACACTATGAATACACTTTTTTATTGAAAATTATAGATGTTCGTTTTGCATAATTTTTAAGAATACCTCATTGTAGGAATTTAATATTTTCAATTTAAACCATTGATCAACGTACGTGGACTAAAATTTGCCGTGTGAAGGCCTCTACTACATGGGAATTAGATGATTCAAATAAAAGAATGAATAATGGAATCAATATCCGAGTGATTAGTGATGATATAGTGAGAAGACTCAATTTGAGTTTTTGTTTCTTTAGGAAGCTATCATCTTATTCGATGGATTTCATTATTACACGCATACCTGATGTAAATACTCACTAAAACTTTTGAATAGACATTGTATACTACACAGGAAGTACCTTTTTATCAATTATTTGGCAGATAATGATAAGCAGCTTCAAAACCGTAAAACGTAAACAACAGGATTTTACGAGAGACTCAGGTATGTATAGTATATAGTTTCAATAGAAATATGACTGATTTCTAGTACGATCCAACTAGCATCAAGATGTAAGTGAAGATGATTGTAATAATCCTTGCCGGGGTAGATAGGGACCATTTAGAAATTATAATGGGACATTTTCAGATAAATTAAGCTTGTTCTCTCTAACGACATGCTTCCACAATAATTTTGCTTGTTAGTCAATTTGAGTAAATGGCATCTTTCGTAATTGGAAACTCTATGAAGAAATCTCTTAGCGAGTTTTTATCCTCTATTTAATAATAAATATAATAATAAATATAATAATAAAGGCGTAAAGTGGGAATTCACACTTTTTAAATTTTTCTAGAGAGTTTAAAATATTTCACATGATGGCTCGATGCCTAAAAGGAGGAGTATGTTTTGTATTCATTTTTATCTTCAAAATAATTATTATTAACAGAGTTTCAGAAATTATATCCTCAAGATGGGGTAGGAGGGGGTTTACTATTTCTATGAGCAACCTTACGGAATTATGAGCAGATATGTATAATTGCGAAAAGATACTCGCTCATTAGTCCCGAAATCTCGCAAACTATTAACCTATGAACGTTAAATTTATCATAGAGGAAGTTTATGCACACTTATTGTGTTTCTCTTATCAAGCCCTTTCGTTTGATACCCATAGTATAGCGGTGACTATGGAAATTAAATTTTGCTGCTAAATTTTATCTTTAGAATGAAGTCACGTTGCTTGTTATGTTTCTCTCATCAAGCCATTTAATTTGATACCTATATCATAGACATGACTATGGAAATTATAAACGCCGTCCTGGGGCCATATCGGATTTCGAATTACATCACTTTGCTTATTGTGTGGCTCTTATCAATCTGGCGATCTTGGAGGCCATTCAATGGAAACTCTTCTACCAATCCATCGATCTGGAAACGTCTGATCTAAATATTGTCGAACACGTAATGCGTAATGTTGGAACATCAACCTATTCGCAATGTATCGCCGATCATTCTGATTTTCAATTATGGCTGTTAATTCAGGATCTATGGCGCCTTCCAGTAATTCCAAATACATTTCACCGGTCAAATTTCCAGGTAAGAAAAAAGGACCAACTAAATGATCGCCAAAAATACCAGCCCAAGCATTTAATTTTTGTGGCTGCTGTCTATGAATCTCATGATAAATTCTGGGATTAGAATCGGACCAATATCGGCAGTTATGACGATTTACTACGCCATTTAAGAAAAAGGAACATTCGTCGGAAAAGCAAGTGTTGAATAGAAAATGTTCATCGTTTATAGTATAATTCGTTCACTCATGGATCTACATAAACTTGCCCTAAAACCCCCACTTCTATTGCTTCGTTCCTTAGGGGATTTTCTACGTTGCGTTTTTTATTGGCGACTGACCCAGTTTCCCGAAATCTAGCTACAAGTTCTAGAACATATTTTCGATGCTCGTTACTGTTCTCATGTCGCTCATTATATATTTCTGCTGTTCTATTAGCGCACTGATTATTTCCGAAAAATAATTCGATAATTTCAACTCTTTCTGCTATGGAATATACCATGGTTAATTTATGTAATAAAGCGTTACAAGTTATTTTAGCTACAAATTTTGGTCAAATCAATCGCAAACTATGTACTAAATTCCTATTTAAAATAAGTACGAGATATTTCCTTATCTTTCTTCAAGAAATAACCTTTTTGACACAAGAAAACGCTCCAATAGCTATTTTCAACAACAAAATGATAAACAAACCATGGGCGTAGTGAAGAAAAGTATTTACTTATTAAGTAAATTGTGTTAGTCAAATTTCATCTGAAAGTAGTACAAACTAATCTGATGTACCTATTAAAGTCTACTTTAAGCTTTAAATCAATAAATCTTCAAAACTACTGAACTGAAGCACATTAATTTTATATCATTATAAAGGGAATTGAAAGACCTTTAAAATAAGGTATCACTTGACTCCACTTTCCATTTAAGATTTTAGGGTTGGTGTCATCCCCGCCCAGGGGGCTGCATGTGTTAACGTGATTTTTTGCCAAACTTGTGTCCCCCTCGAAAACAAAATCGACGGGTCTGAGCGTTTTTCCAAAAAAAAAAAAACTGAGCTGCCAGTAAATGCGTCTATTTCGTTTTCGATGCGCCACCCTGTATGCACTGATTCCTGCATTTGCGTGAACACTGGCGTAAGAGGTACCACCATTGGTGTTCATGACATTAACATCGACCCATCCTGAAGCCCAGTTGTTTAGATCTTGAGACGGAATAAAAATATCTGGAAATTTGACCGGTGAAATGTATTTGGAATTACTGGAAGACGCCATAGATCCTGAATTAACAGCCATAATTGAGAATCAGAATGATCGGCGATACATTGCGAATAGGTTGATGTTCCAACATTACGCATTACGTGTTCGACAATATTTAGATCAGACGTTTCCAGATCAATGGATTGGTAGAAGAGTTTCCATTGAATGGCCTCCAAGATCGCCAGATTTATCACCTTTGGATTTCTTTATATGGGGTCATTTAAAAAGCAAAATCTATGCTACTCAGCCAACATCATTAGAAGACCTGCGACAAAGAATTGTGAATGAGTGCCTTCAAATTACTCCTCAAATATTGCAAAATGTGCGGCAACGTTTTGACCAAAATCTTTATTATTGCATGGAGAGCATTGGTCGCCATTTTCAACATTTACTTGCCTAACGGGTCAGTTCATTCTTCATTTTTAAATGACTTTGCTGCCAAATGTATTGATCTCCACTAATGATGATGTATTAGTTTTATTTAAGCTTTAAATCAATAAATCTTCAAAACTACCGAACTGAAGTACATTAATTTTATATCATTATAAAAGGGAATTGAAAGACCTTTAAAATAAGGTATCACACGACACCCCTTTCCATTTAAGATTTTGGGGGTGGTGTCACCCACGCTTAGGGGGCTGCACGTGCTAATTTTTTGAGAAACTTGTGTCCCCCTCGAAAACAAAGTCGACGGGTCTGAGCGTTTTTCAAAAAAAAACTGAGCTGCCAGTAAATGCGTCTGTTTCGTTTTCGATGCGCCACCCTGTATATTGTACAATGAATATATACGAAGTGGAGCCTTCTGTTGGTGCAACCTTTGTAGTATTGAACATATCCTAGCTTGTTTAAAGTGATGTAATGAGAACGCGCGTTTTTTTTGCAGCGCCACAATTTAACGTCCGTGTGTGCCAGCAGTAACAGGATGTCTCCAAACATTCAAAGTTCCACAATTTTCGTATTGTAGAATTTCTATTTGGTTTTCCATGGCTACAAACTCGGTACACTGTGGCAATTATTAATTTCTAGTGTTACTGTTCTTACGTTCAAATCCTTGCTTAACTTAAAAAGTCTTTTAAGTCATTTTATACCAGGGGATGCGGGTATTTAATAAAAAATATACAGTATTCAATTTTTTATTGACTTGTGATATACGTATAAAAGTACAAAATAAATATTAATATTCTTGTGGAAAGGTACATAGAATGTATATGGCAAATCACTTATAAACTAACTGAATATATTAATCTAATTCTACATAAAAACTTGCAAGAATACATCTATATTTTACAATATTATCTTGAGATTATATGGTTGTACTTGTAATGTTTTGGGATCAAAAAATTAACAATAAAAGTAGATAAGGAAAAACAGATTGAAGCTTGACCCAACTGGTAAAATCGACTAATAAAACCTGCTATTTTCTTTTCGGAGTATTTCCAATTTTTAATTGTATACCTCCCGAAAGTAATTCATACAACATATACAAATCAGTAGAAGAAAAACATCAGAAAATATGTTTAATCCAAGATGCATTAGAAACAGTAGATGCTGTATATTCAACAATTCAGCAATCAAAATTGGAGATGGGTCATCTAGTATAATGCTTATGCTTAGAGCATACTGGTTGGTTATACTTTAAATTTCAGGTACCTTTGGTCTATGAAAACACTGAATCAAAATATAATATTCAATGATCATTCCTGCAAAAATATCAACATCAATCTGCTTTTGACAAATATTTTGTTGCTTAGAGGCAGTTGAACTATGGCTTCCATTTGCGATTATTGTACTTGTCATATATTAAGTAAAATATATATTTACGAGAAGACAGATTGAAATAAAAATATTGCTGAAAAAAAATATAAAAAAATTACAAAGATGCTCCTATGTAAACAAATCCTAAGATCTTACTTGGAGAACAAATATCTTAATAAAATTTCAAAGAGTTCCACTCGGTAAAATCGAATCTGAATTAAAAGGAACCGTGCACGAATTGAAAGAATTGATTCCCAGACCCGAATCGAAACCATGGAGTCGAATCAATAAAAGGAACAAGGTGTCCCAGCTCCATTTCCCCGTATATGAAAGACAACACCAATTAGAATTGATTTCAACCTATCTTCTATAATACTGGCATTTAAAGGCACACTATAATCTTAAAACTATGGAAAGTACACTAGGAAATTTGGCGTTCCAAAATACTTGACAGCAAACGACTTGCCCATCCCTGTAGGAGAGCTCATAGCGATCTCACCGTCATCTAACGGATACCCGACAATAAAGTTTGCCTTAACAGCGTCCATCAGAGCTTTGCCGATACCCTGTCGTCTATGGCTGGATGAAACCCAGATTCTAGAGATGCCGCATTTGATTGGGCATACTGTTTTCGAACAAAAATCGCCTTCGTCCGGCCCTGTGGTGAGCATGCGGTAGCCTTGGGATGCGGGTACTGCGACAATACAGCCGACTATCAGCCGATTTTTTACGTAGAGGAAAGTCTGAAAAGGAATTGTAATATAAACACTCACGCACCTTACATCAAAAAGTAATAAGACAGTGCAAAGTGTCAACTACCACACCAGAATCGACCACTGCGGAAAGCGCATAGCTGCTATTAGTTGGAACCATCAGGGATCTCAGCTCGAGTTTAACAGCCCAGTCATGAAAGCAGCATGTCTAGTTTATCAAAAGTAACCTAACGTTTAAGGCACATATCTATCAGAACAGGGCAACTTTATTGATTTTGTCAATTAAAACTCGTATGAGAATATTCTAAGCAAAATTGCATCCATTTTCAAAGATTATAGGTTTGTTTGTATAGTGGTCAGTGACTTGTCGGTAACTGTGTCTGGGATACGGCGGTGTAAACTCCGTCTATAGTCTATATAGCGTGGCAGAATGAATGGGATTGATGTGGTGGGATCTTGCACATGATCACTGACAGGTTGGCGACTGCTGTACGAACACGGCTTATGCAGCTCTCATTTATGTCCCACCGAAGAAATCAGCCCATAGAATTTGATTTTTGTTACGGACATCCACAGAATGTTACCATACATTTCACACTGAACTAAATTTATTTTCTTTTCATCTCTGTTACCACGATCAATTATATACAATGTTTCACGCTGGTTAGTAACCATCATTTACATTTAATGTCCAAAAAGTATAATATCTTATAAGTCTGCATTCAATCAAGGGTTGATTGAATATAATTAAACGCAGAGATAGAAGACCGGAATACTTTGACAAAATTAAAAAATTGAGGAACCACTTGTTAAATCTTCGATTACAGCTTGTCCAGCATGTGCATCATTTGGCTTGAATTTGCTAATTTTAAGTTGTTGATAATTCTTCTGTGTTCTTTTTTCTACTACTACTATCAATATGGCATAGATTTAATCTCAGAAACAAACAACAGAAAGCAAACCAATGGATACACTCTACTGAAAAACTCAGTATGTCGGGTGCAAAGAGATGACAATTGCTGCCTACAAATAGTTCATCAAAGCCTGATACATCGGAAAGCAAACAGATGTTGTTTAACTTGCGATTATTTATGCAATTTTTGCATTGTACGCCGCTGCTGACAGCCGTGATAATGCTTCGTATTCCGACGAGCCTACGAGACCCGCCAGACTTCGGCCTCACATCCTGTGTCCTCCTTTGTTCCTAGGTTATCGAGACTGTGGAACAATCTGCCCGAGGGCGTTTTTTCCAGTTCTACTTCTTAGGCGATCAAAAAATCGTATTAACAAGGTGTCTTTAACCTTATAGCAGTCGCGATGCCCCGCTATTTAGACTTCTCCCTACGCAGCTGCTTTGGTATAAAAAGAAGCTTTTCGAAATGTTAACGAAATATTTATAGGAAGCAGTTGTTTTCTCTTTACGCATTTTATGTCAAAATATCAACGTCAGGGAATACAAATTATTTTCCTAGCATCTAACGGAAGAAGTCACATTCTAAGCAAGAAACTTTGTGGAGACAAAATATTGATCTTCCATTGAAATAAATATTTTCAAATGAAATTACATGTTGATAAGGCGCAATTTAGATAAGTATGAAATCTGTAATGTTACGTAGCCAAATGAAAAATATGGGCAACAGCTACAAGCAGAATATTATTTGTAAAAATAAAATACTGCAACAACTTACCTGGACATTATCAACGCTAAATGGAGTATCATAATATCCTAGCTCTCTGTCAACTACACCCATCAGATCTTGTATCCTTTTCAACCAAAGTTTAGAATCATGCGGCAATATCTGAATAATCCTGTCACTGTTAATTGTTACTACCATTCGTTCATTTTTCCAACCCTAAAAGATGGTTAATGTAACATCTAAAACTTACAAAATCACATGTGCTAAGAGAATTCTCGTTACTGTAAACATTTCAATTTCATTATTAGATTCTAGTGTGTTACTACGATAGTCTAAAAGTCCCGTAACATGCTGAGATTGCACGAAGTCAAAATTCTGAATTTTAAGCACCTCGCATTACCAGCATAGCCCAGTACATTTAGAAAAAAAGGTTATCTAAGGATATACTGTTGTTTTGGCAAAGTTGACACTCTCTGCTTACAAAACCTGATCTTTGTATCTTTAGACTAAGTCTGTGAGCATAAATCAAATTATTTCGCTACATTAAACTTACGTGGAATCGGAAAATATGGATGGCCTGGTGGTAGTTCGTATGAATCATTTCATCACTGGGATCACCCAAGTGGTACATAAACTGACATTCCAGACATTGAGTCACTCCAAACCGCTTCTGGCCAGCGTCCAGCAACATCTGGTCTGCTGCTATCTTTTTGAACTTCTTTTTGACTGTGTTGTTCATAGCTTTGAGGTTTTTGGTATTGTCAGTTGAGGTTGCTTTTTGTTGGTGGAAAACAGGATAAAGCTTTTCATCCTCAGTGGTGTTCTTATTTTCAATATTGTTGCCAATTTCTTCGAGTACTGGAGCGAGGTTCTTGATGCGCTTTGGACTGTAAATGTTGACAATTCAATACTACAACACTACAACAGTCGTCTCAAAATTAAGTTTAATCCGTATGGAAAAAGGGAAAGTAAAAATACGCAGAATACAAAACATATACTGTCTTTTTTTTTGTAAAATTTGTATGAAAATTCTTATAGAAGTCAGATGTCGCCGGAAACAGGGACAGGCCAAGTCATAGCCGTTGGAAAAAAAATTAAAAAAAATAAGTCGTGTACTTTTCAAATTATAGGCTTAAAAAATCTGAAAAATCTACACCTCGTATTCCTTTCCTTACGAAGACGTCGTATTACAAGCAGACGAAGAAGACCCGAGTGCTTCAGTACGTCAAATAGGAGCAAGCACGGGAGTGAACAAATATACAGCTCCACTCGTACCACGTACATTTTTCTGATAACTATTACGACTTGGTCTGTACCCTGTTCCACCAAAAGCCACCCGACTGCAACTCGACTTCAACCCAATTTTGACATCAGCTACGTTTCTTTTAGGTTATCTCTGAAACTGTCAACCTGACTACATGGATTTATCTTATAACTTACCTGTTCAGATCCAATCCCGATGTAACATTGCACATCTGAGATATCGGTGACAGAATGATACTGGCAGGGCAAATTGGATCCCTACTGACAGGCTGCTCATGTAGTTGTATCCCATTATCCAATGATATTGTGGTGGAATTATGCACAGGCAAAATTACTTGTTGGCCATCTTCAGCCTCACTTTCATCATCAAGAACTGACAGGATGTCATCTATGTTTGTCGAAGGCATGCTCGGCTCTTCTTGGCTGAAATCGCTTTCATCGAATTCGACGTTCTCAGTTTTAACCTTAAAAAATAATGAATAGTAAGTTTAATCAAGAGTGAAACATGGAAACTCATTTTTCAGAAGTCACTTAAAAACTATATGTATAGTTTGCGACCTAGCTACGTTGTATTTTTTCGAGCTTTTCGAGAGGATCATAAAAAAGCCATAGCGACAAGTGGTACATCTTGTCAAATTTATGGTTTTTTCCATGAGTTCCAAATTTTACAAATTACCGAATTTTTCAAAATTCTCAACAATTTATTTACAAATTTTCAAATTAATTTGTCTTTTGAATTGTCAAATTAGAATGTTTTCCAAGATTATTCGATTGTCACAGGACCTTGACTCTCGTGCAAATTTTCAGCTTAATCAGACTTCTTGAAATTGGTGAAAATTAAGTTGAAACTGAGGTCAAGCTAATAAAAGAGTGTTAAAATATGTTCGGCGACCTAGTGATGGTAAGGGATGATACTTCACCCCAAAGATTATATTCTATCATTTCCGATCACAGCTAATGTAAAAAACGTCGGCCAACATCGTTTTCCTACATAGACCTGTACATTTATCTAAATTAATTTCTCATTTCCTTGTGGGGCTTCTAAACAATCAATATTTTCGCTGCATTATTTAGCTGAACTAGAGTACAAAGTAACATACGGCAGAGACTACACAAGCTAGGCAATGTCTGTCATTTTCATTAAAATCCGCAAGCACAAATATTTCTGTCCAACATCCGCTAGGTGGCGCTGTCATGGCTCATCCAGCGGAGTGAAAAAATGCAATCAGACACAATGATTCTGATGTCGATTTTTTATACACACCTCATTAGAGTTCATGTTTTGGTCTTCATGGCCTTTATGCTGGATGCCGTTTTGCTCCAAAAGAACCATTTCACCATTTTCAACCCTGACCTTGATGTTCTTATTCATGGTAACTACACCTTTCGGGCGAGAAAACCTGAAAAATTTTTTGTTGGTGGTATTCTGCTCTGGAGATGAACAGTGTGGCCTCTTCTTTGACAGTTCAGGTTTATCCACTTTAATAGCTGGAGTGATCAAAGGAACCGCTGGTTTTATCAATGGTTTGTTGGACCTAAAATAAAATTAAACAAATAAAAAGATGGTTTGAAAATATAATAGTTGACTATACCTAGGAGCTTTTATTTGCAAAGTTGTATCTTTAGTCGGTTCAGCCATGGAATCATGATTCTCCTTGTTCTCCACAATCATTTTTTCCTTGCCCTTATTTTCCTTCAACTCTTTAAGATCCTTAATGTACTCTGTGATAGCCTGGTTTCCGGCTGGCGTCACGGCAACCTGTAATTTGTATCTTTAAAAACAATCCCGCATCCTTAAGGCTGCAACTGTCAGATTACAAGCCTTTGTGTCAGATTACAGTGTTCGCAAAGTTCATACTGCATACTGGCAGTAGCTTTCACTAAATGACTACTTTGAGGTTGAGGCACTACTCCAGAAATGGCACCTGCTTTTGCTCAACCTTTCGAATGTTTTACGGTTTATGGACAGCATAAGCCTCTCGCACATCGGAATCGATGATTAAATAGCACTGACCCTGTACACATGTCATTTGCTGGCAAACAGCTCAATGCGATCATATTTTCCCTGACACATCTTGTTACAAAAATATACTCCATATAGTATCCTACAAATCTGTAACCCACAAACCCTGCTTTCGAATTACGAGTTGCCGTAGATTAGGCAAATATCAATATACAACAAAACAGTTGTTGCGTCATTCCTTCTTAGATAGCATTCACAGCGTGTTCGATATCTGATAATCGCAATAAGTCATGTACACGTGACGTCACGTACATGGGATGTAGGTGAAACCATTGAATAACGTATTCTAACGGAAGATTAGCGAATATGCTAATATAGTTGGCTACAGCGCCATCTATGAGTAACTAACCGTCTCCAAGTAGTTTTCGAATTGGTGCGGACACGAGAAACAAGTGTGGACATCACCTTTACCTGGATCGAATTTTGCAATCTAAACTGTCAGACTGTGATTTATTTGCTCGGTTTTTGGGTAGTTTGGCCGCCGTAAAATATTTTCATTCGTTTCGCCAACACGAGTGGTTGGCATCTTCAACAGGTGTTCACAGAGTCCTGTGAGCTACAGTAGCTCACAGGACTGGATGATGGCCGCGAAAGCCTTTCAGACTGTAATTTTGTACGTAATACACTACGAGAAAAGTACGCGATGCATTAAGATAAATGATGTACAAGATAGCGCATAACGAACCTTGTTGTCCAAGTCCCACATTGTTTAGGATTCGGTAGATAATCCTTACGGAATTTGATACAAATCGATACATCACGGAACAAAAAATCAAAATGCACGTATTTTATTTTCAAAGTCCATGGTCTGGTGTTTTACCTCAGCGTGCATATACGAGTAGTTGCTACTTCAATTTAAGGCTTGGAAAAAGTGAGCACCATGAATAGCAATCTTATTACAAATTTTTGACAACAAAGTACATCAAAACTTCGCAGTGCTGGAAAATGATGTACTGAAGGGTGGAGTCTTTATGTGAAAGTTTATAAACAAATCCAGTTTTCGCTACTGGTGTTCAAAATCAAATTTTTTATGAGAGCTGTGTAAAACTATTCAAACCCCAAATTTCAACAATATGAAACTACAGACTACACACATCAAGAGAGTAGCCAGCGACTCCGATAAGGTAGCTTTTGAGGGCCACATCTTTTGGCGGAGTTTTTACAGCTGATGAAAATACCTACTTAAAAGACTACATCGAAATCGCAGCCATAAAGCCCGAAACCTCACCAAAAGCTATGAAAAACGTGAGAAGCATAATTTGTCCGACATTTATGAGATGTTTTCATACTAACCTAATTTTTCACTGCTATAGCGTTTTTTCATAACAAATTTGTTTTGATTCCCGAATAAGTAACCTGTATTAATAGATACGACCATAAAACGCAAAACGGATGAATTTCTGAGCATTGCAGACCATAGTTCCGACTCAGTTACACTATTTCAAATAATCGCTTGAGTATGCCGGATGTTTCTTGAAATTTATGTTTAAAATCCATTACAAAATTCCATCCAAGAAGAAAAAATAACCAACCTTCGACAAAGCCCTCTTGACAACCTTTCCAAGCGTAGGCTTCCTAATTTTGTGAGTAACTCCAGCATTGATCTCGCCATATGTCCGCTTATGTTTCCTCTTTGGAGCTCTGCTTCTCGTCACTTGGACAGATAACTTCTTTGGCAAAAACACTTGATTCAAATTTCTTTTCTTTATCGTTTCCATTATATCTTCAGTATTCGAATAAAACCTTTTAGCAGGCAGAGAAATATCCGTATCCGTATCTGGAAATAGTGCAGTGCGAACCTTCGACTCCATCTTAAGTAGCTTACCACCAGATTCTGGGGTGCTGGAAGGGGGCAACTTCCTCTTACCCTGTCCGCACTCCGAATCTAGAAGAGATTTACGGAGTAACTTTGGAAGTTTCGTACCAGTACTACAAGTATCGTGAGGAGTTTTCAACTTGTACGAGGGAGAAGCTGCTCTAACTACTTGAGTACTACAAGCGGGACTGTTACTCAGACAAAGTGGGAGCAAAGTCTCAGGGTGCAAGAGTTTAGATTGAGCAGGAGTGCAGAAGTTTTCCTTATTAGCGACTACTTCCAGGATATCGTAGTGTTCGACGGTGTCTATTATCTTGCTAACTGGTGTTTCGGAGTCAGAATCGGAGTCCGAGTAGCAGGTCTTCAGAGGGTTGATCGGTCCAAGGTCGGAGTCTTCGCCAGAGTCCACTGTGTCCGAGGGGAAGAGGGACCTCCTACGTTCTGATATAAACGGCGAACGGGTATCGTCCAGAGTGGAATTCATTGTACTGAAAACTGGGAAGGATTGTTTAGCCCCTTTAATATTCCAAATGGTATATTGAAGATACAGTATCAGTACATGCATGGACTTGTTACTACACAACAATCTCAGCATCAGACAAATATCAACAGCAAACTGCAGTAAATGCTTAGTCAGTCCATTTATCTAGTTTATTTTATATATTCGACAAAGCTTATTTCAATATATAATAAGGTTCTTCTATATAGAATTGAAAAGATTATTTTATATTTCCATGTCATGTATATTTGTGCCCCATTAGATCAACAGTAATGGTCGGTCATTTTATGTGCCCAAAACAATGTATTTTCTTACACCGTATTTAGCTGCGAAGTTTGTTAAAAAATCAAATCCTGAAAATCCTTATGATCTGTAGACTTTAAGCTATTTTTCCAAATTCGAAATGTTAGAAATCTTATAACATGTAATTTTTTTTTGAACTGTGACGGTTAATGAAATAGTTACCCAGCAAAAAAGTTTGTATCTCCAGAAAGATTAAAAACCTTTGTATATACCCACAAGAACATACAAGGCCTGTAAATTAAGTAATGAGACTGGCAACGCAGCGTTCGATCTGGCAACACTGCGGACGTTGGGCTTAGAGGGGAGACAGGGCAACATGTGATCCACCTTCAATACAAGTTTGAACTCACTCGAGTCACTTGGTTCACCGTAGCGATTTTTTATGAAACAGTTTTCCTATTGTATTCTAAAAATGAGTGACATCAATTTCGAGCAACTGTGTGCTATCAGGTTTTGCTTCAGACTTGGGCCCAATGCAACGGAAACTCTTGCTAAGCTTCAGCAGGCCTACAGAGATAGTATTTTGTCAAGAGACCAGGCTTTACGTGGTTTGAGGCATTTTCAGAAGGGAGAGAGTCAATTAACGATAAACTATGAGGCGGAAGGCCTATATCTTCAAGAACCGATAAAAATATCTACAGAATCCGGGATCTTGTCCGTCGTCGGTTGACATCAGAATGATCGAGGAGTTAAATTTGACTCAGACCACCGTTTATCAGATCAGGAACACCTGGGTGGTGCATAACAATAATGCTCCTTGTCACAGATCAATGTCAATAAATGAGTTTTTGGACAGTAAAAACATTTCTCTGTGGCTCCTCAAACTCATTATTCGCATGTCTTGAGTGCTTGTGACTTTTTTCTCTCCCGAAGTTCACCTTCACCTGAATGGAACTCATTTTTGGACAGTCGAAAACATTAAAATGACTGTAACCAACCAGCTGAAGGCTATTCCAGTATAGGTGTTCCAGCACTGCTATAAGGAGTGGAAGAACTATCTCTCCAGGGGTGTGGCTTCAGAAGAAAACTATTATGATGGTGATAATATAAAATTGTAATTATATTTGAATAAAAAATATTTAGAAAATCAGTCTCATCACTTAATTTACTCACCTCGTATTTCGGTTGTAAACTTCGTCTATACATTTTTTCAGAAATTCTAGATATTCTGGTCTAGTATTTCATTGGACTGAATACGTACTGAGAATCAAACATATCTAGAAATAAACAATGTCCACCCAAGGCATGGCCGCAAAATGATCTATCTCACTGACGGATATGCCCATAAAGATATAATGAGTAAGAATGTGTTCGTGAACAGCCTGTTGCTCTCTGATCCTGCTCTCAGCGATGCCCGCCATATCAGTAACATAAGTCCCAGCATATTTATAAGAAGTCCAGAATATTCGCCAAGCTATAGCGTTTAGCAAAATAGTCATATTGGTCACATAAATGTTTACGAAGTAAATCTGATTTCTTTTTCATCAGTTTTATATACATCCACTGATCCACATTATAAGTTCACAATTAGTCATTGCTTAGCACAATTAATCAATCATTTCTTCTGTTCCATGCAAAAATTATGATTGTGATTATTGGAGTAATAAGTAAATGTCCAATATCACACATTAGACCAAGCTGACTAGCCAAAAATCGTCACTGTTTCAGAAAGAAACGCAACAAGCGGTTTTACAGCGGATTTATATTTTTAAGACTAGGTGACAAGGTTCCTCATCAAGAGATTCAAAAAAATTGCTGGCTAACTTTTTTATCAAAAGACATATTTGAAAAAGTCAATTTTTCGCGTATATCCAAATAGTTATGAGTTATTGGTGTAAGCGGTCCAAAAAATTTTGTTAGTGAATGATAACACCTTGAAAATGAGATCCTATACGACCTATATTCCATAATTATTGTCAATTCAAAAATTCAAGTCTTGAAAAATGCATAACGGTAAATCTGGATTAGTAGTCAAAAGCATTTGTGGTGCTTAACATCCATAAAACATTTCATTCACAGATACTCAACACTATGGGCAATTTTCTAATTCTTACCACCATTTTTTCAGAAAAATTGTCTTTTTTGACGAGCTATCCAGCGACTCTGGATTAACCAAATGGCCTCATATTGGAATCATTCCCTTACTAGAGGCTTAGTTTAATATTGTATTGAGAGAGATACCAGATTTTCTTATACAAACAATGTAATAAGCGTCACCAATGGTAAATCTATGTTTGCCTTATAATCAATAAACCCGTTGTTTTTTACCATCGCAATTAGGAAGCCCACTTCTGAAAAGCAAATAAAAAACGCTAACTTTGACGAAAAAACTTTTTTGGGGCTTTGGGGGCTGAAATAACAGTAAAAAAAAAGTAGGGCCATTCACGTGAACTACCACTCAGAAATCAAGCTCCTTTAACAACTGCTGCTAAAACTGTGTATTTTTCATCTGGTTTTCTGTGGTAAGCATCCTAATTACAACTTAAAAAAAATAGATGTTCTCTTGGCGACGTTTTTTACATGATTAGAATAAAAAATCTTGTCTATCTCTTAATAAGATATTAAACTAAGTCGGTAGTAAAATAGTAAGCCCAACGTAAGGCCATTTGATTGATCCAAAGGCAGTGGACAGCTCATCAAAAAATTTTCTGAAGAAATAGTAATTATTCAAAATTCCAGAAACAGTTGGGCATTTTTGGATGATTTTTTTCTCGATGTTAAGCACCACAATGACTTCAAATTTTAGCTATTATTTCCGATTTACCTTATGCATTTCCCAGTAAAAAATAAATTTATCGACGATTTCTTTTTTTTTTCTAAAAACAAATTAACCATTTCCGCAAATTGGTAATGCCTTATTTTGAAGGAATTCTCATTCCCAACAACTGTTTTTAGACCACTTACACCAATAGTTCATAACTATTTGAATATACACGAAAAAGTGTGTTTTTGTTTAATAAAAGTTAGCTAGCCAAATTTTTGATATCTCTCGGCGAGGGGCCTTTCCGTTTACCCTCTAGAATATCATTATGTTGTAAAACAACTTAAAGCGGTTTGTTTCTCTCAAATTCTAGATATCCTATCATCTACAAATATAATTGGACTTGTGCTTTTTATAAAGAAGTCAGTGAACTCTGAAAATAACCAAAATATTCATTTTTTGTATGATTCAGCATCATCTCAAGCCTCATTAGATAAGTCATGCAAACTAGAATAACCACTTTTATTATGTTAAACACAACATTGTAAATATTCCTTCCTTAATTATTCAAATGTGTATTGAAGTGACGTCTGTACTTAACAAAGGTTGTTGAATGGTAATGTGTATCTAGCTCAGATCCATTCATAAAAGAACAAATAATGGAAGATACGAGGGGCATCCAAAAAGTGATAGTATTTTATTGGCTTTTGATGTATGGAGGCCATTGGCAAAAACAGGGCTTTAGATATTTGTCAAGTGCCTATAACAAAATTTCAGTTAATGAAACGTGTTTCTTCATCCAAAACAATGGCTCAACAATGCAACATCCAGAAAAATGGTGTCAAGTAAGTTGACTCTGCACTTCCCACTCAATGATCTCATCAGTTCATAAAGGATTATGTTTTGCAGAAGTTAGCCCCTCTCACAAACTGTTGACTATGAAGATGTATAACAGAAAAAAAATTAGGCTGATCAAGTAAGTCAAACAGATCTACACAATTAGTACATACTACCCACCCATTTGAGAACACTGCAATCTAGAAACTTCTCCCCTACTCTACTGACAGTATTGGTCATCTAGCAATGTTGTTATGGCTGACTTCCCGTATCGTCAGCCGTAGCAGCAATGCATTGTTCACACCTCGACACACGATATGTATATACTGGTACAGATATTAGAAATATTTACTATTTAAGTTTTAAGGGCAAATGTATGAGGACATACGGTGATGTGTGAAATATCTTTAACAGATGCATAGAATTACCGTAGTTGAAAGCATATAAATAAACTATAAAAGACAGACATATACTCTCCCTTGTCCCCTACAGTCCCCAAATCCAAATTTTGAACCTACAACAATTTTTTTCTGAAAATGAACGTCCTCCAAAAAAGGTTGAGAGTTTTATTTTTCTTTTTTTACCCCTAGCTCCACCATCCCATGATCAATTTTCAAAAGCTACAAAACTTTTTTGACCTTGGTATAGGCATAGAAACCTTGTATGAAAAGTCCATCAATAGCCAAGTGGTACTTTCTACATCATGCATGGTACAAGGACTAGCAGGACATGATTTTTTGTGATGTAGCTGACATAACATTCAAACAACATTTAGCATTTCAGCATTTTTTCCTATTACAATACTTCCTTACCATTGGGATGGAAATTAAAGCAAATTAATTCAAATGTTTCTTTTACCCACTAGTGAAGGAAAAAAAAACAATGAATAATAAAATACACAGAACATGATTTTGTATACCCTATCATATTTAGATGTGGAACAAAAGTTGATTGGCTGAATGAATACTCCACTCCCGGTTCCTACTATGTGGATTTATTTATTTATTGTATGTCCCACTCATAGCAGAGTGACATTTGGGGTCCTATTTGTTCTGCCAAAAATTTAGGAGAATTGAAAGCATCATCTGGATTCTTGATCCATGTTTCAATGCCTCCCACAGGTGGACGCTGCAGGATAACTGAACAGGAGTTATTCAAAAAATAATTTCTTTTAAAATAATGTTCTAAGTGCAAGATTAGGAAAGCGTAGGTGAAGTTAAATCATGGAAATGTTTTGTTTTTATTCAATGCAATATGCAAGTAGATTGTCCAACATTTCCTTTGATTTGTTTGATTTATATGTTGGAATCTCACATTAAAATGTCTGCCAAAAATAATCAAATGAATTATGATTCTGATGGAAAACTATTTGCATGGGAGCTAATATGTATCCAATAACAAACCTTTGAAAGCAAAATCTGAATAATTGAAAGCAATAACATAACATACAGGAAGAAGCAGAAAACCTATAATTGCATTGCAGAATATGTACAAGTAACTCCGGTAATAATGTAAGATATGCCGTATTTTAGCCGACTATATGCAAAACGTGCAGCTGAAAAGCGTTGCAAAGATCCTTACCACTTACCCCTTGCCCTTGATAGTCAGCAGTACAGCACAAGCAAATATTTACATTACATAGATAAAATTGAACTGCTTATGAACCCCCAGTTTGTTGTTTGGGTCAAAAGATAAATTACTGATAGCAGCGAATAGCTAGAAGAACGATAACACTTATTGCCACATGTAATTAGCTCTTAATAAATCTTAATTTAGGTCTGAACCGCAACATCTGACACAAATTATCATTCCTACACCGGTTTTGCAGTTGGTTTTATTTCTTTTGTGGCGCCAAACAGGAAATAAAAAAGACAACGGTCCAAAACCAACGATTGTATTCTGTCAGTGGATACTGCATCGGCAAAAGATGACATAGAACATCGAACATCTAACAAGTGCTGCTGATGTAGACTAATGCGCTCCTGTCGGCAATAACATAAAACTGACCTTGCATCTGAATGCAGTATTTCCTAAACTATTCGAAGTCGGTAGGTCCGCTCAAGGGTTTCGGACCTACGATGAGTTGTTGTTGCAGCTAGAAACAAACAAATAAAATATAGAATATTGCTTCTTGTAGACATCACTGTGGTTCATTTTCTTACCACTAGACTACTATGCACGTTGCATTTAGCCGATGTTTTGCTTCCTATCTTACCTTGTCTATGGTAAGTCTTCTGTCACAGTCATATGTTTTTGCTTGACACCGAAGTACACATAACCTTCAAGTTTGTTTACATTAAACAAATGAAAAAATGCTCGGGGAAGTTAGATGAATTGAAAATGTCGAATTTGCTTACCTTTCACGATGATTCTTTATGGAATATTTCTGTTATCCATACTACTGTTCTTCAACGGTTTCTTTCCCATTTCAAAGACTCCCCAAAGCTTCAAAAACGATCCGCCAAAAGATATGCTACCAGTGAATGACACATACGCCCCCGTGGTATCCAAATTAGTCCTTGTTGTGATAGATGCTCTACGTTTAGACTTCGTTAACTCCCAATTAATGCCCTTGACATCAAGACTAAGCAGAGGAAATGGTTGTTCCAATAATGTATCTGTGCAAACTCCAACAGTTACAATGCCCAGGATCAAAGCACTAATTGCAGGAAATGTACCACAGTTTATCGACATTGTTTTGAATCTTGCTAGTACAGAACAGTTAAAGGATAGTTTAATTCATTCCGCTTATAACAGCAACAAGAAAATAGTATTTTATGGAGATGATACATGGCTGAAGTTGTTTCCATCCTATTTTTGGAGATACGAAGGAACAAACTCTTTTTATGTAAGAGATTTTGAGGAAGTAGACCATAATGTAACCAGAAATGTCCTCAAGGAAATAGAAGTAAAAGACTGGGATATCATGATCCTACATTATTTAGGTATATCTTTTATGGAATTTGAGTAGAGTAATTTAGTTTTTATGGGCCTTTAATTTCAAATACTCCCTGTGGAATTATCTACTACCAGCTTTAAACTTTGTTATGTATGATCACTGGTGAACAAATTCCACCTGGAGATATTGTGGCCTCTCTAATACCTGTTGTAATTGTGCATCTGCAGGTGGGATAATGTTAACCAATGCCCAAAGATAAAGATTCCCAATGAAAGTAAGCATAAGAGAGGCGCCAAAAAAAAGTAAGGGCTGAAGATCCTAGCGCCATCTATGAGACAGCAAAACTCCTTTCAAAGTAGATTTTTAAATTTATTTTTGAGTTCCACTACCGTCTCATAAATGGCACTAGAATCTTGCAGTGCTCTTTCTGGATACCACAATATGGTATATGATTGGCTATCTATATCAAAGTGAAATATGTTAATCAATGGCATGATTCTCTTTCCTAGGTTTGGACCACATTGGACATGTCTATGGACCTTTTTCTCCACTAATTCCAAAGAAACTAAAGGAAATGGATCAAATTATACATAAGATGTATACAAGATTGATCATGCAATATGACAATCCTCTAGTGATTATCACTGGAGACCATGGTATGAAAGACAGTGGAGGCCATGGTGGATCAACCTATGCTGAAACAAATGTTCCCTTAATAGCCCTAGGAAGAAAATGTAACAGTGCTTCATTTACTCAGACTGACATTTCTGTCAATTTAGCTGTACTGTTAGGTCTCAACATTCCTTCTGCTGCTATTGGAATGATACAGAACAGCCTTCTGCAATTTCCTTTAGATAAGCTGTTGTATACAATTTATTATAACCTGTTGCTGCTGAGGCATAGGAGTAACATTTGTGAAGATTCCTTTAGAGAAGCACTGTCATTTCATAAAAACTATTTAACAAACGGAAACGACCAAGACGGATTCAAGGCTGCAATTTTGTATAAAAATTGCTCTATGTTGATCATTGATGAACTTACAAATGCAGTAACTCAAAACTATACTTTATTGTTCATGTCTTTGATTCTAATGTTTTGTTCTGTAGCTTATTTGTTCAAATTGGTCAGGCCAATAGTATGGACACATTGTCATAAAGGTGTTGACTACACATTACTTCTGACTTTGGTGCAACCTTTGACTTTTGTTTCATCCAGTTACATTGAAGAAGAGCATGAATTTTGGTTCTTTTCAGTCAGTCTGTTATTTTTGATTACTCTTTCAATATCCTTAAGGGCAAGAAAAATGAGCAATGTCTTTAACAGTATTGTAATGCTGGCAATAATAAGATGTTTACGAACTATAAATGCAACTGGTGATAAATGGGCTAGCTATCCCGATTTTTCTGATTGGTTGCTAAAACCAGAAAACTTTGTTTATCATCAATTATTTTTCTTAATTGGCCTGCTGTTACTTGGTTTAATGCAGTGTTGCATTTGTCATAAGGTTGTCAGCCCCATAAAAATAGCATTGGATACAACCATATTAACTTCAATATTTTTCTATAAAATAACAGAGTCCAATATTACACTTGCTAGGGTTATCTGGTGCTTAATTCTTTGTCATCTGCTTTTATTTCATCGTTCTTCTAAGATTGTGACATGGACCCACATCTGTACCTTATTGCTAAAACCATATAATGTCATATTGCTTCCTTGTTGTATCCTCTTGGCTAGTTTTTTCCATGGTTCATCTAATAAATTACTAGTTCTTCTGTCTCACGTTTGGTTAGGGAATTTGTTGTTTTTTGCACAAGGGCATAGCAACAGTATTGCTAGTGTTGATATATCGGTTGGATATGTTGGTTTATCAGAGTACAAACCTCTATTTGTCACTTTGCAAGTTTTATTCCATACTTATGCCTTCCCAGTATTATGTCATTTGTTAATGTTTAGCAATATATCTGACCATAAAAAGAACATTCTTCCAATTTGGGATATATTGTTCTTTAATCGCTTATATATTATGTTTATAGTGTGCTTAAACACACTGTTTTTCAGAAATCATCTGTTTATCTGGTCAGTATTTGCACCAAAATTATTTATTGAATGTATTCATAGTGGATTCTTGTTTGTGAAATATGTTGCATATGTTTTGTATGGAAATGTTATTGAAAGAAAGATAAAATACATGTGATATTTTAACTTAAGCTGTTTTTTGTTTCATTCCTACCCTCCAAGATATATTTTTAAATACATAAATGTTAATATCTCCAACATGCATACTATGATCAAAACATTTTCCTTATATTTTTTGCAACTTCAAAGAAAAAATCATGTATTTTAGCATTCAGTGATTTTATACAGTGGTTAATCATATTTAAGAGACAAATTTTTAATATTCAGTTACTTTAAACAAACACATTTTTTTGTTTTATAATTTACTATAAATATGCTTAGAAGCAATTAGAGAAACAGTTCAAAATGGTAGAATGAAAGAATATACAAATTATCTTAATCCTCAGGCTTGTCAGGAGGTGGCCCACAGGGCTGAAGCATCTTCTCCATAAGATTAAATTTGACCCTAGCTTTTGCTTCATTCTCACAAATGGCTATGTGGCTGAGCAAGTCTGGATGGCCCAGATAGCTGGAATAACTGTCCCGGTGCTGGTTCACTAGCCATTCATACTTGGTGGTGTCTGCATGCCCAGTACCAATGTATTTTGACTGCAAGTGTTCAAGCTGACTGTGGATATTGTAGCGGTCACCCATTTTCTTCTAAAACGTATAAAGTATCAAATACTTAGTTCAAAATTCAAGTATCTTACTCACCTATTGAAATATTTGCAATTTTATTTATGTTTATGACAATGTGTAAACCTGTAAACAAAACATATACATTAGCACAATACACTAGCTTCTGCTACAATACAATAGTTTTAGTGACCTCTGTTAGACGAAACTCTAACTGTATTGTTAGTAGATTACAGATTTCTGTGTTGAATTTTCAAAATTCCTATTGACAGGTACTTTTCATACGTCTTGACAGGTTAAAAGTCACGGCTGAAAAAGGCGAGGACACTCAAAATTTTCGCGAAGAACGGGAATAGGGGAAGACGGATGTGACGTCGTCCGAATGTCAAAAAATCACGTGGTGCGGGTACCCGCCTAACGTCTGTGAGGTACTAGCGGGTGACAGGTCTTATGTCAATGGCATTTAAAAACAGGCAGCTCAATTGAAAATTTGTCTTCGCAGTGCTGAAAATTGAGTTAAATTATTAAATCATAAATGGAGGAACACGTACACCTGATTTTAAATGACGAGGGAGAAGGTCATCAAAGATATATGATCGGCACTTTTCGTATCAAATGATTGATTTCATTGATATATAAGTACATTGCACAAAAAACGATCGGTCTTGTTATTTCAGATTCAAACAAGGCAGCTAAGTTTATCAAGGAGCTTAAAGCAAACATTTTGCTCAACATGCGCCATCTAACCACTCTCGGTTGAACTTGAAACTGTCAAAACTTCGAGTGGAAGGGGAAATCCCATCTGTTCCCGCTCGGTTCACTAACGGAATCTCGCGAAAAAATCTCCCCAGCACACCCAATGCCTCCAGCTAGTCTAACATAGTCGATTTCAGAACAAAAGTAATAAAAATATACCTTGGCTTATTCCACCCCTTACTAAAGAGATTTTTTCGCGAGATCCCGTAGTGAACCGGAGCGGGAACAGAATTTCCCCTTACTCTCGAAGTTTTGACAGTCTCAAGTTACACCGGGAGTGGTTAAAAAGACCAATCGTTTTTTGTGCAATGTACATATATATCAATAAAAGCAATCATTTGATATGTCAAGTGCGGTTCATATATCTTTCATGACCTTCTCCCTCGTCATTTAAAAATCTGGTAGACGTGTTCCTCCATTTATGATTTAATAATTTAACTCAATTTTGGGCATTGCGAAGACAAATTTTCAATTGAGATGCCTGTTTTTTAAATGAAATTGACATAAGACCTGTCACCCGCTAGTACCTCACAGTCTCACAGACGTTAGGCGGGTACCCGTACCACGTAATTTTTTGACATTCGGACGACATCACATCCGTCTTCCCCTATTCCCGTTCTTCGCGAAAATTTGAGTATCGGTTCCCGGTAGTGCACTGTGCTACACCGTAGACTCGCGAAAAAATCTTAATGATATAGGGGAACGCAGCCTAGTTACTTCTGTCATCTGTCCAGCGTTGCCAGACGTACGATAATTATCGTTTCTGTACGATAATTTCAAGTACTGTACGATGTACGATACTATGTGTAGGATAATAGCTGAATGTACGATAATTTTGCGAATGAGCTTTTTTACTCACAGATGTTGAATCAATCTAAGAATTACGTTCAATTAACACCAGCAAGCAACTGTCTGTGTTGGCACTTGGTAGACAAGCGCGCGTACCCCACCCTGTATAATGGGTTGCCTAACAGTACGCGGACTATCTCGGCAAACATCAACGGGAAAAATTGCCGTCAATCAGTTCTCATGTTCACATGTGTACTAGATGAAATGAATGCGCCGCGACGTCTCCCGTTTTTATGACTTTTGAAATTTAAAAATCAAAAGATCGTTCTCAGTTATTTTCGATATTTAACCGGCTTCAATTCAATAACGATAATATATCGGATTCCGCATCAAGTTGCTCTGGAAGAGAGAAGCAAGATGCGAGTACAAAAAACAAAAAAAAAGGAGCGGAACCTTTTGAGAAAGCCAAACATAGACAGCAAGCTTATAGGAAAGAGTGGGAATCAAAAGAAAAGAGCCCCGCCCCCCCGAGACGGAAATTTTTCCGTCATCATGAATCCTGAGAGAATCTAAGGCACGGTGTACGATAATGTATGATAATTTTGACGTGTTTGTGCGATAATTCCCTGCGACGAATCTGGCAACGCTGCATCTGTCATATAAAACACCAAGGTCGTCAAGTCGATAAGCAAATAAAGGTCAGCTATGTTATGATTATGGTGTTGACCATTTTGGTAAAAAATCAACAACAGGATGACTTTTTAGTAAAATACGACATCAAATGATGTGATATCAACCATGAGTGATTCTGTTATCACCGTGAACACTGTGCTAGACTGCAAACCAATCCTCGTACCGTATACACCGACAACAACATGCGAAGACATTTGCATCTACCTTTGCAAACAACTTAACATAGGGGCCATAGCCCGCCACTTGTTTGCCATTCGTATCACCGGCAAGAATGTCTTCCTTATGCCGGCAGCCACATTTGGGGACAAGCCTGCCGCTGTGGACTTCAGAATGCGGCTCAAAGTGGCCAGCATTGATAGCCTCAAGAAATTGGACATGAACGCATTTAACTACTACTTTCATCAAGCTAGAGGAGATGTCTTGAATAACAGAGTACCTGATATCATTTATGAGAAGTACAAAAGAGAGTTGGTTGGCTTGGGTATTACAGACATGTACAGGGTCATGCTGGAGAAAGATATATCAAGAGAAAGTGTGGAAAATGATTATAAAAAGTATATACCTAAAGAAGTACTGAAAAGACATGCATTTTTCATTAAAAGACCTATACACGATACACTTGGCAAACTCCAGAAATCTGTTCATGATGCATTGTAAGTACTTTTAAAAGAGCTTTAAGCCTCTAGGATACTACTATTTATTTGTATACTAGCTTTGTGCCTTGGGAATATGTATACAGGGTGTCCCGAAAAAAGTGTTCAATATTCTACCAGCAGTTTCTAGAGCTTAAAATAGGAAGAACAGTTTATATAAACATAGGTCGACAAACATCCCCTAAGGGTGCTGCAGTCTTTTAAAGGGGCTCCCCTGAAGATGGTTTTTCCTTAATATTTACGAAACGTGTTGAGATAAAGACATAAAATCTGGTAGTCTAGCCTACTTTTTTATGCTGGATTTAAAAATATTAACAATTTTAGACAGTTTTGTTTCGAAGCGTATGTAACAGGACTCAGGTTGTTTTAGCCCCAAAATTTAATAATTGGTAAATATTACATAAATACATATTTCTATTGCAACATTTAGGCAAAAATAAAAGAAGTAAATTTTTTCTACGAACGAAATTGAAATTTGTTTAAAAAAGAAGACATACAGTTAGATATACTTTACAATAAGTGTTCAAATAAATTCCCATTTTGTTGGATACAGAGTCTCACTCGACGAACTAATGATTGCGTAGCCCGAAAAGTAGAAAACCTTTTTCTTCTTATTTCATTTGCCGCCTGAGGGATTCTTTGAAGTAAATCTTCTTGAGTATTTACTTCAGGATTTAGGTCAGGTGAACATGGCGGCCACGCTATTGGACCTCCTCGGCCTAACCACCTGTTTGGAAAATTGACATTCAACCAATTTCGAACATTGCATCCAAAATGTGTAGGGGCGCCATCATGTTGAAAAAACATATTTTCTTGTAACTGCTCGCGCACATCCAATGGTATTATATCCATGACCTCATTCTGAAGAAAGTTTAGTTACACCCCTGAATTAAGGCGATTGGGAAATACAATAGACCCAATTACTTGATCCCCAATTACTCCTGCCCATAAGTTCAATGAAAATCTATGTTGGAAATTTTTATGGCGAACAACTTTTGGATTTTCATCTGACTAGTGATGAATGTTATGAAAATTAAAAGCACCATTCCTAGTAAATATTGACTCATCTGACCAATAATATTCTAGGAATAGTGTTTTCATTTGCTAATATCCACTGGCAAAACTCGATTCATGGTAAAAAAACTGCCTTTGTTAAATACAGCATCCATTTAAAATTGTAAGGATGAAATCCTTGCATTCTTGCCACTCTTCCTATCTAAAATTATTATTTTTAGGATAACTATGAAATAGGTATTCATAAATTTTTCTTACTATTGATCGCAGTATATTATTTCCAAACATATTTAAAGCATTATCCATCCGATGATTCCCCAGTGGCCTTCCTGAGCCCTGCATTTGCTGAAAACTTCCATGGTTTGACAAATACCGGTGAATATCAGTAAACATTCGACATACATGTACTATGCGATTGGGAAATCTTCTTTGATATTCTCTTACGGCTGCCAGTGAACTGCCATTGCAAAACCCATACACAAAATGCATGTCAGTCAGTTCTCTGTCTGTAAATCTTGGCATTTTAAATCCATTTAATAAAAATTTTGATTCTAATCTAGTAATTTTACACTGCTAACAATGTCAGCTTAACGTCAAAATAAGTCGTAACAAATCAAAACAACTTTTGTTTGCAGTCATGGCTAACTATGTATAATCAACAATTATTCATTTAAATTCACAGTACATTTCCTATCATGTGACAAATTTTTTAGTTTGATTTTATTCAAAAATGGCACAACTTATCGATATTTAAAAGAGTACCGTTTTTATGTAGAAAACCCTAAATTTTCTAATTTTAAAATTGAATTTCAAAAATAGAATCACACAAAAATTTTGGGGCTAAAATAACCTGAGTCCGTTCCTGTTACATATGCTTAAAAACAAAACTGCCTAAAATTGTTAATATTTTTAAATCCAGCATAAAAAACTAGGCTAGAATACTAAATTTTATGTCTTTATCTCAACACGTTTCGGAAATATTAAGGAAAACACATCTTCAGAGGAGCCCCTTTAAAAGACCGTAGCGCCCTTAGGGGACGTTTGTCGACCTATGTTTATATAAACTTTTCTTCCTATTTTAAGCTCTAGAAACCGCTGGTAGAATATTGCACACTTTTTTCGGGACACCCTGTATAGTGCCACTAATATAGTTGGCTGTCAATTTACTAATATTATATTTCTATTCTGGCAATGTTTCACTCTACCAGTTTCAGTTTCATTAAAAAAAAAAACTTGAGAATCAGAAGCATAACTCTGCTAAATGTACATAGGAATAGATAGAGGGGTAGCCTAGAGCTTTGGACCATCTGAAACTCATCATATTAAATGAATAATGCTACCCAGATGTCATCTCTTCATAATGTACATCTATTCAAGCAAGGTCATAGATATAGCTGAATCACTAGAAACATATATTTTTTATATTTCAGTTATGTAAAGGAAGAGTACATTAGGCAACTGGAGATTATTGCACCAGAGTACCTGTCTGAAGTATACAAAGCTGTCATGGATGATAATGGTTCAATATCTAGTGTATATATCAAAGTCTCACCCTATCATCCTACTGAGCCAGGGATCAAATACTGTTTAGAATCCAAAAAAGAGGTAATTGGAACTCTTATTACCAAGTCTGATCCGTATGTGATCTGCAAATATACTTCTTTTTTCAACCATAATTATATATTTGTATCTGAAGAGTGCTTCAGAATTTCAATTTGGCGCCATTCTTTATCTTAAACATATAGTTTTTTTTATGTGGATGATGGTGATGATAGTGGAGTTGTGCATATTCATGACAAGCATTACCACAAATATGGACTTTTGTGGTAATGCGGAAAAGTTTTTTGTTTGTTGAAGATTTATCTAGCATTAATGCTACAAAGTCAATTTTATATAATTATTCGCTTACACAATTTTCTTCAATCCATTTTCTGTAATTTTACCTTCTTATCTATTAAAATTAGATGACTATGCATTTTAAGTATTCATAAAGTGATTTTTTAATTTCAACTTCAGGTTACACCCGTATCCGGATGTATGGGCAAGTGTATCTATTTTTGTAGTTGCATATGTGCATTCATTTCGGGCCTGATGAAGCCAACCAGCAGAAATACGTATCGCTTGGGTTACCTATCCTATTCTGCTCGAATCCATTTTTTGCTGATTTTGCCCATTATTTTCCTATATTTGTTATATACCTTTCTCCGCATGATAATTTTCTCTTTGTAGATCATTTGGGCTTGAAGTACCATAGAAAGTGGCTATAAAGGGCCGCGTGGTTGTGGTTATTTGTCGCCTTGAAAATTCGAGGTCTTCTAGCCATTTTATACTACAATGTGTAGGTTGGCTCTTGTTTGTGGACTTCGTGTGTCTTTTTTTCCTCTCCATCTTCGTTTCCTCAGGTTACACCTGTATCCGGATGTATGGGCATGTGTATCTATTTTTGTAGTTGCATATGTGCATTCATTTCGGGCCTGATGCAGCCAATCAGCAGAAATAGGTATCGTTCGGGTTACCTATCCTATTCTGCTCGAATCCACTTTTTGCGGATTTTGCCCATTATTTTCCTATTTTTGACATCCTTTCTCTGCATGATAATTTTATATAGTTCTAACATATACAGAGTGTTCCATAATTATTGCGACAAAATGATAGGGGTTGTAGAGGGCATCAAAATGAACAATTTTTCCTTATAAACCCCTGTTCGGAAACATGCCGTTTGGGCTGCAGCAAAAAAAAAAAGATCAGTTTCTTGAAACAGCTTACCTACAGTAATTGCTCAAAGTGTCCTCCACCTTGCTCAATACACACCTGTGCACGATTGTTCAATGATCGGCGAACTCTGTGGCATACCCCCGGTATGTCCTGAACATGTGCGGACGCGGCCATCACTCTTCCCAGTAGCTCTTGTTGGTTGGGAACAGGAGTTTCGTACACTAAAGCTTTCAGATAGCTCCAGATAAAATAATCCAGTGGAGTCAGGTCAAGTGACCGCGCAGGCCAAGGCACAGGGCCACCTCGGCCTATCCACCTATTTGGAAATTTGTCGTCCAAATACTGCCGCACTTGTAAAGAAAAGTGGGCTGGACCGCCATGGTGTTGAAACCACATGTTGGCTCTTATATTCAGTGGCACATTTTCTAATAGTTCCGGTAGCACATGCTGTAAGGATCGACCATAAGCATGCCCATCCAAACGTGGTGGAAGCAGATATGGCCCGATGATATGCTCGTCCACAATGCCGCACCAGATGTTAATTGAAAACTGATGTTGGTCTCTATGGATGGCTATGGCATGAGGGTTTTCTTCATCTCAAATGTGACTGTTACGGCTATTAAAATAACCGTCCTTTGTAAAACAGGACTCGTCAGTGAACAAAACGTAGCGACCAAAGTTTGGTTGCCTCAACTCCTGCTGCAGCCACCAACGACAAAAACGTCGACGCGGCAGATAGTCTGCTGGACCCATGGCTTGGACTTTTAAAAGGTGGTACGGGTGTACGATAACAAAAATGTAAACACAGCAGGCTTTTTCTACAAACCGGCGAGACCATGAAATGTGCTAGACGAACATTTTGCAGCTGGTGAATTTTTTGTTTCTCCTATGAGCTCTTAAGGTAAAATTAACTGTAGTGCTGAAACGGCATATTTACGAACAGGGGTTTATAAGGCAAAATTGCATATTTTTATGCCCTCTACAACCTCTATCATTTTGTCGCAATAATTATGGAACACCCTGTATATATATATATGTATATATGTTATGTCAATGTATCGTACGCAAATATTTGAATTTTGCAGTGTTCTAAAATTTCAGAGATATCATTTATATAAATAATAAATAGTAATGGCCCTAATTTACTCCTCTGTGGCACCTCTGCTGATATATTTGGAACGCTGGACAATATGTCCAACATTAGTCTTTTGACTTCTATTTACTAAATAATTTTGTAAAATGATCAATACTGCTGCTTTAAACCATAGTGATTCAATTGCATTAACAATTTTTCCCTATCAATGCCCTTTTGGAGTCTTAAAAATACTGTTACAATACATTCTTTATCATCTGTACTTCTTCTCCAGTCTTCCACCACCATTTGGGTTGGTGTTTCTATAGAAAATTTTTTTCTAAATCCAGCTTAATTTTTTGTCAAAAGTTTGTTTTCTTCAATTGTTTGTTCACATATTATACCTTCGAAAAGCTTCTCGACATCTGGCAAGACATTAATCGGTCGCATATTTGTACACAGCTCAGAATTTTGAACTTTCGGCACAGGAGTAATGGTGGAACACTTTAATGGGATTCACCATGTACTAAACAATGATTCACCAATAATAATAATTTCTCTCCAATTATATTGAAACACTCACTTAAAATCTTTTTGGATTTTTATTAGATTTCAATTCTGAGATAGGTTTTCTCGGATTGTTGATGTTAATTGAACTAAATTGACTCATTGATGAATTATGATATACTTGTAATGAACATAAGTTTGGATCACCATCATCAATCGTCTTCACTATTTGATTGACCCTGTCTATAAAATAACTATTCATTCTTTCTGCTATAATTATTTTTTGGAATTATTTTCCTGATAGTCGCATGTTTTCTTGCAAGGACATCCATTCAAAGATACAGTTGGTTCTGGAAGTTTGCTTATATAAATGATTCTATCCTCTAGTCGTCTAGTCCATCATGCCAGATCAATGAAATGAATACATGGAATTTCTATTTTAGCAGTGGGTGTTAAAATGCACAATAGAAGAGCTAGGTTTCATTTCAATAAGAAACGATAGTACAACAGAAATTAGTAGGAAGAATGGTATACCATTCTACCTTAAATTCAACTCAATGGCAACTATGTACTCATTCATAAGCCTTTTGGATGGCTACTACAGACTGACTTGCAAGTGGATATTCAATATATGTAGGGAGGTGTACACTCCTTCCTTGAAAAAGTTATATGCAATGAAATGTCATGGGCCTGTTGGGTAAGTTATTTTGATATGACTGACAAACGGGTCTTTGCCTCATTCTAGTATTGTTAGTGGTTGTAAACAAGGAATTCGGATAGATTAGAGAGCAAAGGTACCAATTCTATATGCTTAAATTGCATTTGTTTGCCGCTAAATTTGCGTAGTTTTAGTGCATACTTTTGACTGCCGTTGTCTACCAAAGAGACATTGTTGTATCACTATAATGATAATACTTACTGATGGAAAGATTCACCTTCATTAGACTTGTGCAAATTATGCAAAAAAATACCATGTCCTGAAATTGTCTAACACCACAACTATCTGAGAAGAAGAAATAACACTAAAAATTAAAATTGAGTGACAGAACTGTCAAAAAATTAACTTATGTTGAGTCAACTGACTACAGACTGAGATTTTGGAGACAAAGACGTCACAGGCTTGCTCCTTCTACCTAGTCTAAATTCGTTTTTTGTAATTCATAAAGAATTCATTTACAAGAAGAAAATCAATCATCTGTTAATTCAAGTTTTCTTACCTGCTAGCATTTAGCAAGACCTAGTTTTTTTTGCCTTCTATAACAATTATCTTTTCCAGAGGTCAATTTTCTTATGCGAAGCTTGAATCTAAAAGGAGCAACAAACCTGGATGTTTCATCATAAGGGAAAGTGAATCAAAATACAATCATTATTATATTGATGTTTGTATGAAGGAAGGGTATGTTATTAAAATTTACTAGTGATAATTATCTTTCTAATGAAATAATTTTGTAGTCTTAAACCTAAGACGTTCAAGCTAGAAAAAATAACAGGTGATGAGTTCATTTTCAATGATGATCTGACAAGATACAAAAGTATTCAGCAGCTAATGGCTGCTTATAGTGATCCAAATGGTGCAATTTACCTACAGGAATGCTTGCCTCCTTCAGAATATGGTGAGTTTTTTTGTACATGTAATCAAGCACATTTTGAACAAAAGAATGCTGTATCATACACATATCACATGCATATGTGTACCCCTGGCAGAGAGCAAGTGACATACCTTTCTACCCTTTTTCTTGTATTCACCACCATAACTCAGGCCAAAGACCTTGGTGAAGGCTGAAGTATAAAAAAAAACTGCATTTGCTAAGCATCGCTAATTCTCTTAACAAATTTTAATTTCAACTATGGAAATGATTGTTTATTCCAGATGTATCTCCATTACTTCTATGTAGGAGTGAAAAAGAACCTGGAGGATTTGCTTCAGATGTATCCATTCCAACTTCACCTCTGTGTATAAGTTGTAAGGATCTCCAAGTATACAAACGTGAGTGGAAAACTTTATTACTTTCCAAAAGCAACAAACATGAATTCCTTGTTAATCATTCAAGCCAGCGTAGGTATGGGTAATTTTACGATAACGAATCTTTACATGCAGATGTCAATTGAATATGCAAACTTTTAACTTCAACACTTTTGCTTTAAACAGGTTTTTAAATGCTTTGGATCCTGTTCCTGTTTAAGTCACGGACTTTTCAACACCGTGAAAGCAGAAAAGTTCATATAAACAGCTGTCATAAAAAGTCTGGTTTCCAAAATACAGAGTGAAGTTTTATAAAAATGTTGTTTTTTTATTGTTGTTGTATTTTGCCTCTATAACGTGAGATCTGGAGGTTATCACTGCTTGGGGACGTAAAAATGCGCTTATCTGGTTTCGATGGATGGCCGAGGTTCGGCTGGTCTGAGTCCAGATCACCGAGGACTTGATTTGGTACTAACACATCTCGTCAATAGCGGCGGCTATTGGGAAAAAACTGGGCTATTTCTTTAGAGCTAAGAAGTACATTTCTCCACTCTATACTAGGCCCAGGTAAGACATAGCGTGGAGTATTGCTCACATGTTTGAGGTGCTGGCGCCCGGACTACAGTCTGTATGCTCAATGTTGTTCAGAGGAGGGCTGGCCGACTGATCGATGACTTTTCTCCAACAGACAGTCTCGGCACCCTTTCGCATCGGCGGACCGTCGGCAATCCAGCGATGCAGATCTCTTCTACCGCTACACCAATGGGCTTTGCTCCTGAGAGGTCTCCTCCATGAAGCCGCCGCGCCATGTGCCGCCAGATAGACCCGCCTGACGGCGACCTCCCATCCTAACCGTGTCGAACTTCGGGTGTCTAGGGTGTCGAGATTGTGGAAAAATCTTCAAGAGGAGGCTTTTCCCAGTTCTATTAAGCTTAGGCAGTTCAAAAAGCGGATTAATAAAGCTTCTTTGGGATCCTCATAGCAGCGTGGCATTTAGGCTTCTACCTGCGGGGCTGCTTCGGTGTAATACATTTTTCTTCTTTGTGCTGATTTTGTTGAATTTTGGGTTTGTTCTTCATTGGAATAATACACTAACTTAGCACTAACTAGAAGATACTTCTGAATTCCAGTGTCGCCCCGGGAGATATTTGACAAAAAAATGTAAGCTACCGATTTTAAAAAACATATATGATTTTTTCGGATGAGGGCAGCTAATGATATCTTTTTTGTCACTTTGTGTTTCTTCGTATTTTACTAAAAAAAAACAACTACATCAAATGTCGAAAAATTGTTAAAATATGAGATCCGTAGCCTATATAGAAGCAGGAGGTTGTGGTTTCCAACACTTTTGGTAAATATTTTATCAAATTATTTTTACTTCTTATTCCTTACATTTTGAATAATGGCGTATAAATAAATATTATACATCGATCAAAATTAAACTGATTTTATTTAACAGTGTTTTGATATACAGTTGTAGCAATCCTGCTTAAATCGAAGAAATGTTTTTTTTTCAAAAAATCATTAATTTAGTCTTAAGCGTGAGACTGCCTTATGAGACGCCACTGGGTTTCATAATTATCTTCTAGTTAGTGCTTAGTGCTAACTTAGCGCCTTATTACAATGAACAATTGCCAAAATTCGAGAAAATAGGCACAAAGATCTTTGAGATGTTAATAAAAAACGAACATTTTATAAAACCTTTACACCCTGTGACTTGGAAACCACACTTTTTAGGACACGTTTGTACTAACTTTTCTACTTAAATTTGGTTCAGGAAGGCGCCCTTGTAATTACGGCCTATTATTAAATAACACCTTGTGTACTCTTTGGAATGGTGACATATCTGTCAACGATTATTGCAGAACGCGTGTAGTAAGAATCTGTAGGTTAAGATGATAAGTCCAGTATTCACAATGTTTTTTCTCGCTAACGTTATAATTGCCGAGGATACTATACCCGGTAATATAACTGACGTCTCTATTTGTAAAGTTAGTCATTTAGGAATGGAATATTTCGGCCCAATATCAAAGACAGAGTCGCGGGTTCGATGTCAGTCTTGGACTTCATTGCAACCTCATAAGGTAAGATAATTTTGGTTAAAGAAACGTTTCAACTTTTGTTAAATTGTCATATTATCACTATCGCTAGATCAAGATAGCTATTGACCTCACTATATAAAATTGGTGCATTCAAGGAATTATAGTGCCTCAAGTGTCCATTGTTATTGCTCATTTGATGTGAACAGTATAAATTTACTAAATGCAACCAGTGTTATGGTTAATAATAACTCGAATGACATTTTTTATTAATTTGTGTTCATGCAGATGTAATTAAAATTTAGGTTAGATCTGACCTAGAAGATAAACAATTCCCTGAACGTTCGATTAAAAAAGCAAAGAACTATTGTAGAAATCCTATCAGGGATTCAATGGGACCTTGGTGTTACACTATGAATTACGACTTGGAGTATGAAACGTGTGGCATACCGTTGTGCTCTTATGATTTGTGTAAAATAACCGGACCTGGCATGGAATATGCAGGAAAACATGGAAAAACGGTTTCAGGTAGGTTAATATTTCACAGATCAAGGTAAGTACATTATTGGTTTTTCTTTGTACGATAAAATATTACTTGTGAAAATCTCCGAATTTTCGATTTTAGCGTCGTGATTATCTTTATTGAATATCTAGTATCCAGCGCAAAGTCTGCTATAACATTCTTGGATTGCCTGCAATTGTTTCTGTCATTACTTTCGCCCTATATGTCTTTCATCAAGAGCTGTGATGACATAACGTCTTGTAACACTGGGTAACTCACATAAGGTTAGAATTCTCAGATGAAAATAAAGCACTATATGCCCGCATTTTATTTTTTTAACATTACGACACATAGCTGACTTTCGTTCCTTTGCACACATGTTTCTATCAAGTTACCGATATTCCTGGGTATATTGACGTAAATGTTGCTCTTGGATACCCCGCTCTAAAAGTCAATGGGTGTCAAATCTGGTAATCGTAGTGACCACGAAATAGCAAGTATTTCGGCAAAGGATGTTTATTTTTTGCAGCTCCTTCAGTGTACAGTTTCAAGCTTCTTTGGTGGAACTGCATTCCACTGCGATCACCATAATTGGCCCCCGTAGCCGTTTTCCTATGGGGGTACCTAAGAGTTTACGCGGCTCTTTCGGTGCAGAAAGATATTCAGAGGGATATCACTATCTCTTTTCAGATAAACCATGTGCGAATATAACTAATAATATTCATAGATATAGTAGATATTATTTCAGACAAAAATTGCTTGAAATGGAACAAAGATCGAAAAAAGGTGAGACAGAATGACAAACATATAGAGATTTCAAAATTCGAAAAACAACTGTTCCCCGAAAACAACCTTGCCGATGCAAAAAAGTATTGTCGAAACCCCGACGGTGACATAGGTGGCCCTTGGTGTTTTGTGGAGAATCAGGCAACGGATGATATCGAAAAAGAATATTGTGATATTCCCTTTTGTGATGATCCAAGCTGTATGGTTTTCACGAAGAATTATGATACTTACACTCACTTCACTGATTTCAATGACACGCTAGATAGTGTGACGTTTGGTGTGAAGTTGTGGGATTCTGATACGTTTTTGGATGCAAGTGCAAGGTACACGAAACATTCAACCTTGATTTAAATGGTTAGGAGAAGAATTGTCTGTAAATCTGTCCTCACTACTTTCCTCAAAGCTCTATTTCTATGATGTGTAACTCCTGAAACTTATCATGTGTTTTCATGCTGATAATCTCCCATGTTTACCCGATAATGTGAAAACTCAGTTTTTGGGGGAACGCCGTGCTGGGAGCAAGAATGCATACCCTGGTTTTACGCGGTGCCATCTTAAAATTGCAATGATGGCTTCATTAGACTCTTGGGAACACTGTTGAATTTTATTTGACGATTTTTCGTAATCGTATGACGGATTTATTTTCTTAAAACGACTCAAAAATGACCACTACTATATGTAGGATATATATATATATATACAGGGTGACTTCGAAGTTGAGTCATTTATTTTAACAGTGAGTAGATCTGATCAAAAGAAATGTTATTTTCCTTTAACATTTTTGTGGTAAAATCAAAGTAACAAAGTTATAGCCCTTTAGAGGTTTGAGTACCGCCCTGTCTCAATAATAATATGTGCTCGTGTTTGGCAACAACGGATATAATCGGAAACAAAAAAGCGAAATAATTTGAAACGCTTATCACGATGTTTTATTCATTTATTTTATTCAGTTGAATTCATTCGATGTGTCAGTCGGTAACGCGTGAGTGGTGTTTCTGCGTGGCTCAAACGAAATAAGAAATGGCACATGTTTACGAAAATGCTGAACTTGTGGACATGATTCTTATTTTACAAAATGCTGCTACGGCAACACGGATTTATGCGGATCGGTTTCCCAATCGAGTGCAACCAACCCCTAGTGCCTTTGTTAATGTAGTACAGAGGGCTCGTGAATCAGGTGACTTAAGTCCTCACACGGGAGGGTATGTGCTCCAAGACCGCACGATCAAATACAGGTCCGCACTGAAATACTTGTCGGGAGGATATTTTATAAAACAAGGTAACATTTTTTTAAATTTTTTTTTAATTTTTACACACATATTTTGGTTTATCTTCCTTCTACAATCATTATCTGAAAATTAATGACTCAACTTCAAAGTCACCCTGTATATATACTCTTGAATATCCATGTTTTTTTGGCCGCCAAATACATTATTTTCTTCCATAAAATATATTGTCCTTGTCATTTTTTGATCTGTGCCACCGAGTTGGCCGAAACATACCTGGTTTTTGGCGACCAGAAAAATATAGAGATTTATTAGTGTTGGAGATATGTGGGTTGTCTATACCTCATTCTTAATTTATAGCGAGTATGGGTAGTCGCTTACTTACCCCTCGCGCAAGTGCCACTAGCACAATTCAAGGAAGAAATAAAGTTACTAGCTAACGTCAGCAACCGCAAGGGAGATCTATCCGCT